TCTTCAGCTCAAGGCTAGCACTCTACCACCTGAGCCACAGTGCCACTTCTGGCTTTCTGATGGTTTATCAGAGATAAGAGTTTCACAGAGTTTCCTGCACGGGCTGGCTTTGAACCATGATCCTCATATCTCAGCCCCCTGAGTAGCTGGGATTACAGGCATGAGCCACCAGCGCCCTGCTCATACTAAATCTTAATAGCCTAAGATGGAGTGATTAAAAATTAAATAACACTTTGAAATGATTTAGTTGTTGTTGTTGGTCATGGGGCCTGAATTCTGGGCCTGGATGTTGTCCCTTGGCTCTTAAGCTCAAGGCTAGTGCTCTACCACTTGAGCCACAGCGCCACTTCCAACTTTTTCTGCTTTATGTGGTGCTGAGGAATTGAACCCAGGGCTTCATGCATGAAAGGCAAGCACTTTACCACTGAACCACCTTCCAGCCCCTGAAATTATATATATATATAAACATATATATGGGCAAGTACTCTGCCACTTGAACTATATCCTCAGTCCTTTTGCATTTAGTTTGATTTTTCAAATAGGGTTTAAAAATTTTGCCAGACCAGCCTTCAACCATGATCTTTCTACCCTTGACTTCAGAGTAGTTGAACTTACAGACATACATATGATATTCAACAAAAATTATAGTTTTAAAAATAATTGAAACACAAAATCTACAAAATTTAATAGGTCCCACTTTTCCTTGTATGAGAAGAATTTGCATATTAAAGTTGTGGTAGAATTTCTGAAAACAAGAATAATGAATAGAAGGAGAAAATATGACAAAGTACCTTTTATGAATGTATGGAAATGTCATCATGAGAGCCTCTTTAATGATTGATATATGCTCACAATATACAAAAAGTAGATAAAATTCAGTATCAGTAAAGGCTAGGGAAAAATAAACAGATGCATTCTTACTGGTGGAGGATGTAAGCAGTGGTTTACCTCCTTTACTCTGTGTCCTAATAAAGTGGATGTGAGTATCAGCAAGGAAAATGTCATTCAAGTGGTACAGTGGAAATGGGGGCAAGCAGGAGGCCTGGCCCCGTAGATGACAGAGGGTTTGCCCCAAGAACACCAGGGATCAATTACCAATACTTGGGTAGCAAGACTACTAGGCTTGGAAGGGATTGGTAGGGCTTTAGGGTCTGTTGAAGGTATTGAACACTGAGTAAGCAAGCTCAGGGTCTAAAGGTATTATGGCAAGAAAGGAGTTTAACAAGGGAAATAATATGCCTGATTTAATGCTTTACTGAAGGAAGTTACCTTGCCTTAATTATCACCATGATGATGAGTCTGCATATTTTGCCTGTAGTCGTCTCACTATTTAGCTTACGAAAAGTTCATGACTTCTTTCCTATGTTCGTGGAAGGAATTTTCCAGAGTTCTTTCTACTTCTCCCCCCCACCGCCCCCCCACACCAGTACTGAGACTTGAACTCAGGGCCTTACGTTCTTGTTTGTCTGTTTTGCTCAAAGCTGATGTTTTACCACTTGAGCCACACCTCCACTTCTGGCTTTTTGGTGGTTAATTAGAGATAAGACTCTCATGGACTTTCCTACTGGGTCTGGCTTCAAACCATTCTCCTCATATCTCAACTTTTGATTAGATAGGAGTACTGGTGTGAGCCACCAATACCCAGCTATTCCTCCCCCACTTAAAAGTAGACAAAAGTACCAGTGATTTGTACTTTAGCATAATTGGCATTACTTTTCATCAATATTTCACAGGTAATAACTAATACATAGGTAGTAATATTTCAAAGAAGTTACAGAACACAACCTATAGAATGTCAAATAAATATGTAATTGACAATGCAAAAGGAAGTAGCCCTCAGAAGTTTAGTTGTACAGAATGATTAGATCTTTGGAGGTTGTGGAAGTATATCTTCCCTGATACATTCAAATTCTCTGCTTTGAGAATATAATGAATAAAGATAACTCGAAATAACGTTTCCATGTATTTATATATAAAAATATGTGAATGAATTGCTAGCCAAACTACATTATGTTCAGTGAAGGAAGATTTAGTAGAAAGCGTTTTTCAAAATGTTATACTACCCCAAGAAGTATTTAACAAATTCATAAATTCAAAATGAACTTAGTATTGGCAAAAATCAAAATATGTGTGAGGCACAGTTCTATGTATCTTCTGAGGCAGAATTCTATATATAACCAGAATCATAGTTCATGACCTTTGTAAACTTAGAGATACAAGCAACAAAATATATAAAACATGCAATATATTCAGAGCTTTGAGAAAGCTGCAGGAAACTGGGACTAAGCCAGCAAGTTGCTTGCATATGGAAAATGGTGGAACAATAGAGGGGCAATGCTCAGAGATTTTATGGTCAACAAGCAGTAGGGGCTGACACTCAAGGGGTGATTTAGGCTACTCCACACAAGAAGAGGTGAACATTGTTTGGATGAAAAACACAAGTAGATGAAAGAAAAGTAAGAGCAGAAGTTGGGAAAATAAGGTGGAAAACTTGACTCATCTTAAAGTAATGAGAAGATTTTACGTGGAAAGTTTCTGGGTGAAATAGTTTTTATAGTGGAAATATGCAAGATAGATTTAGCCAGAGTAGAATTGGAGTTAGGAAAGTAGTTGTGTGTGTGTGTGTGTGTGCGTGTATGCTTTTATTGGGGCTTGAACTCAGAGTCTTGGTGTTATCCTGTAGCTTTTCTGTTCAAAGTTGGCACTCTACCACTGGGGCCACAGCACCAGCTCTGCTTTTTTGCTGGTTAACTGGAGATAATGGACTTTCCTGCTCAGGCTGGCCTTGAGCCACAATGCTCAGGTCTCAGCCTCCTTAGTAGTTAGGATTATTGGTCGGAGCCATTGGTACCAGGCTTGAGGCAGCTTTTGTAGAAGTGAGAGAGAAACATAATGGATCAAGCCTAGGGTAGTTGCAATGGGAAAGCAAAAGACATGACAAAAGATTGCAGAAATGGGTGGTATCAGTAAGTAGATATTATTCATTGGATTTGGGGTTATAAAAAGTGGATAGCTTAGGAAACACTGGGTGTGAAATGAGTCAAACAATGCTACAGAGGGAAGAAGCAGATTTGGCATGTAAAAATAGGTTATTATTTGAAAGAGAGCAGGGAACAAGCCAGATGATAAATCTTCTATGGCTATATTGGATTCGAGATCCATGAAGCTTTGTGTAGTCATTTATTATTTAACAGAACTTTACTGAGCACCCATCAGCTGGAGGAAATAGGGGAAAGTGGGTGCTGGGATGCAGACACAAGTTAAATGTGACTTAGTCTAGGTCCTCTCTTGTCACTCTATTCTCTCTACTCCTTATCCCTGCAAGCTGCCCTCTTTCTCATTAGATGAACACATGGATAATAACCAGGATGTTCCATGTGCTCAGGAGAAAGAATTGGAAAGGAAAAAGTTAGAAAGGAAACATAGGCTCTAGAGTTCAGCCTCAACATAAGCTTTTCCAGAACCATTTTAATCTACATTTCTCTAGACATAACACTCTCCTAAAAATACCTATTAAAATGTTGTTGCATGGCTAAACTTATGTTTTTATTAACTCAGTAACTGTTGCAAAACTGTGAATAAAGAACGATTCAACTACTTTCTATTGATTGTACAATTGGATGAGTCTTACATTCTTCAGTTGCCTCCTTTTGCACTTAAAATCAAATTCAAATGCATTGTCAGAAATTTCTGTTTTATTTTAAAATAAATATCTATATTAAATTGTAAATATTTAACAGATAACTTGTATTTATTCTTTAAGTTTTTAATTTTAAACTATTTTTAAATCCTTATATAAAGGGATTTCAATTCAATGTCCCAGTTTATGAGTAAAATGCATCTCAATCAATGTTGTCCCTTTCATCATTTTCTCCCATCTCTCCCAATCTGCTTTTGATTTTTGTACATGATCTGTGCCCCATCCACCGTGTCTACATTATGTGTTACTCACTTCCCATAATGACAAGATTCACCTGCACCATCCTTTCTGTTCTGTGACACACTGAGCTTTTGACTGTCTCCTTAAAAAAAGCCTCTTAGGTCACTTATCTAAAGTAATATCCTTCATTCTCAATCTAGTTCCTCTTCATCCTGTCCCCTGATATTTGCTGTAATGCTCACAATTTTCAGTTACGTTTATCACATGTTTGCTTATTATTCATTTAGTCACCTGGTATCAAAATATAAGGTCTTACCACTCCTTTTCATGCTTCAATCCCCAATACCAAGAGTAATACATAGTTTGTTTTTGAAATGTGAAAAGATATCCATTGTATGAATGAAAAATTATATAGGGGATAATCTTTAAAATGAATAATATCTAATTATGGAGAAAATCAACAGGGGATTTTTATCCTGTGGAGGAGGTACCAAATATTATATTGACTGAGAAGACTTGATGAGCAAGTAATAAAATTACGGTGGCATATGCCTGAAAGACTTGTAAATAATTTTCATGTAAGGCCTTGTGGAATAAACAAGAGACTTACTAGTGTGCTTAGCCACAGAGTCTATAACTGACCTATGGCATTCAAAGTTTGGCTAACACACATATTCAAAAGTTAAATCACAATCAAGAACATAGAAGGTATATGGGTGCCAGTGGCTCTTGCCTATAATCCTAGCTACTCAAGAGGCTAAGATCTGAGGATCGTGGTTCAAAGCCAACTTAGATGGAAATGTTTGTGAAACTCTTATCTCCAAAAAACCACCAGAAAACTGGAGTGTTTCTGTGGCTCAAGTGCTAGCCTTGAGCTGAAGAGGTAAGGGACAGTGCCCAAGCCCCAGGACTGACCAAAAAATAAAAAAAAAAGAGAGAGAGAAAGAACATAGAATATCTAACATGTAAATGCAGTGGCTTTAACACACAAATAAGGGAAGGAATAAAAGTCTGGAAAAAGTCAAGGCAAAGGATTAGATAATACGGTCACTTAGTTGTAGGGTATTTGACATTTGGAAAGCAAAAGCTAAATGGCCTACTATCCAACGACTGCACTCACCGTGCATGGTGTCTGCATCCATGGCTCACCATCAATCTGCATGGGCAGGGACTTGCTCGTCCTAGGGGAAAACAGTTCACGTTAGCTCTAATACTAAACTATGTAATCTACCAGACTTACATACAAAAAGAGGACATCAGGCAAAACAAATGTGTGGTTTTGCTAAGCTCACTGTTAATGAATATCCTGAAAGGTAACTTGGTCACAAGAAATGCTAACAAAAATTCAGAAAACCAAAAAAAAATGTCAGGCTTTATATTCAAGGCTTTATAGACTAGAATTCCTACAGCCGAAGGATACCCTTGTATGCTTGTTGTGTTACAAATTTGGAGACAAGAGCTGGGCACCCATGGCTCAAGCCTGTAATCCTAGCTACTGAGGGGGCTGAGATCTGAGCATCCCAGTTTGAAGCCAGCCTTGGCAGGAAAGTCCATGAAATTTTTTTTTTTTTGGTTGTTGTTCAAGGCTAGTGCTCTACCACTTGAGTCACAGCGCCACTTTCGATTTTCTGAGTGGTTTATTGGAGATAAGAGTCTCATGGACTTTCTTGTCTGGGCTGGCTTTGAACAGCAATACTCAGATCTCAGTTTCCTGGGTAGCAGGGATTATAGGCATGAGCCACCGGCACCCAGCTTCCATGAAATTCTACCACCGAAAAGTAGGAAGTGGGGCTGGGAAGGTGGCTCAGTGGTAGAGTGCTTGCCTTGCATGCCTGAGGCCCTGGGTTCGATTCCTCAGCACCACATAAGCAAAAAGAAAAAAGCCGGAAGTGGCGCTGTGGCTCAAGTGGTAGAGCGCTAACCTTGAGCTGAAGAGCTGAGGGACAGCGCCCAGGCCCAGAATCCAGGCCCCACGACTGGACCCAAAAATAAATAAAAAAAAAAAAGAAAAGAAAAGTAGGAAGTGAAGGTAAGGCTTAAGTGGTAGAACACTAGCCTTGAGCAAAAAAGGCTAAGGAACAGAACCCTGGCCAGAGGTAAAACCTTAGTATTGATACACAAACTCACAAAACAAATCTGAATTAAAGAAGCCAATGTTTCAGATTTCCAGGACCCAGTACTTTACAATAAGTAACATCTATTATGTGTGCCCTACAGTATGCAGTTTTACCTCAGATTCAGCATGGACTTTTAAATTTCTTCCTTAAAGATAAACTATTGGGTGGGGGGGGGAGGGAAATATATGGAAAGTTTCAAATATAATGTTCAAAAAGATTTACCAAACAATAATTCAAACAATTCACCAAAACATTATGCTGTACTTTAGTTCATGTGAGAAATTAAATTCATTGCATCAATAAATTTTTACTTTAGAGAATTTGCCCATATACTTTGGCGCTTCAGGAGACAAAATGACTGAATAAAGATAGAAGGGATTAAAATGCATGGTAGTTTTGGTGTATCACCATAGCTGTGGTAGTCAACAAGAGAGAATCATACTCCACACAGCCTGATGGAGAAATGGCTAACCAATACTTGGCATTGCCATGTCCATGGTTTTGGAATATATATTGATTATTGGTTATGTGAAGCAAAAATAGGATAAGTGTCCCTACCAGAGTTCTACAGTGTTTAAAGTAGTTTGTAGGTGAGTCAGAGTATTGCTCCTCACTCCTTGTCAAAAACAGAGAAAGAATTACCTGATGACTACAGAAGAACACTGAGCCAGCCTCCGGCCAGCACTTTTCAGTCCTGTGTAGATTTGACCCATCTCCATGGCTCCTTCCAAACCAACCACTTCCAGAAGCTGGTCACTCAAGTCTGAAAGAAAACAGATGCGGGGTCAGTTACAGTGAGGTGCTTATGCCCTCATGTGATTGCCATCTGATATTACAGAAATAATGAAAACCTCATCATAAGCAAAGCCTCTGTCTCTTTGTTTTTCCTCCCCCAAGTTTTAGGGTTTAAACTCAGTGTCTCATGCTCGCTCAGCTTGCTCACAACTGGTGATCTACCACTTCATCTGTGTCACCAGCCTGGCTTTTTGCTGATTAATTGGAGATTAGTCAGTCAATTAATTAGTTGGAGATTAAAGTCTGAGTCTCACAGATAATTTTATGGTCTGACTTTGAATCTGGTTCCAAATCTCAGCTTTTTGAATAGCTAGGTTTACAGAAATGAGCCACCAATACCTGGCTTAGAAAACTTCTGTCTTGAAAGCTGAAAGTAATGTAAAGATGGCATACCCCTGTAGCTTCCATTTTAACTAAACCTATGCTACTCTGGAAAATGATTTGCTGTCAGCTTATTCTAAAACAAGTGGGAAGAACAAATTCTGAGCCAATAATGCCAAAAAACATATCAATAGCTTTTTAACATCAACACACTTAAATGTTATTCCACATGTATATATGGAACATTTATACATCCCACATCAGACATTTGGCAGCAAATATACATCTCATCACTATAGATAACCGTCTGAGGAGACACTGTCAAACAGGATTTTGTGAAATTACCCGAGAATGAGAAAGCTTGGAGATCACAGAGTTGATGCTTCTTATTCTATATGTTAGATAAACAATCAAGTGGCTTATCCATAATCAGAGAAAACTTTGTATAGAAGTTTAAAAGACAATAATTGTTTCTTGAAATGCTTTCCTGATATTAATTAATAATTTTCTTGCTGGGCGCTGGTGGCTGGTGCCTGTAATCTTACTACTCAGGAGGCTGAAATCTGAGGCCCTCGGTTAGAAGCCAGTCCAGGCAGGAGAGTTCATGAGACTCTTACCTTCAATTAATCACATAAAGCCAGAAATGGAGATGTGGCTCAAGTGGTAGAGTGCCAGCCTTGAGCACAAATGCCCAGAGTTCAAGCTCCAGGACTGACAAAAAAAAAAGAAGGAAAGAAAAGAAATATATTTCTAACATAGTAACATTTAGGAATGAGTTAGAAAATTAACACCATACAATTAGTAGTAGTAATAAAAGATTCTAGAAAGGGGCCAGTGAAATGGGCATCATTTGTTAAGAGTTTATTAAGTACTTGTCACAGGGTTAATTATTTCCTACTTATCAGTTCCTCTCACCCCAAGATCAAACTGAGAAAGACAGGATTATCCCTAATAGCAAATTAGTGACTTCTTTTTTATGTCCACATACCAAACAAGTGATAGCTTCAGAATTTGAACCTGACCATCGTCAAACATAATGCTGTTAGCCTTCCATTACCCAGTGGGATTTTAAAAAGATATACTAAAATTTAAAGAGATGTTTTTACATAGAGATAGAAGTTGGATTGTGCGAGTTTCAAGATCCCTTTCCAACCTAAAGATTTTTTACTCAGTCAGCAGAGGTTGAACTGGCATTAGTACTAACAATCCCAGAGAACCTTGTCTCAAGACACAGTGAAGACCTGCTTGCTCACAAACGTGATTCAGAATCCTGACATCATGATTTGAAGGCTGAAATCTGAGTGATCACATAGAATACCTTTGTCTTTTATATATCTATATACTCCCAGTGTTCTTTCAAATGTAAATAAGATCTTGTTGATTTTTTTAATGTTTTTAGTGATACTGAGATTTGAACTCCATTCATGATTGAACCATATAGTTCAATGGTAGAAGCACATTCTAAAACCTCAAAACTCATAGATCATAACCACTGGAAATATTTACTATAAACACAAAACCAGAATGCATATGGAATGTCTGAACAGGCCTTCAGAGACTTAAGTGAATGATAGAAAACATGATTGAAAAAAATTTTTTTAGCTATAGCAGCAACATGAGGTTGATCCAACTAAACATCTTTCAGTTACAAGATCAAATGTCACCAAGTGGTAGCTTAGAGCATACACCTTGGTACACTAGCCCTTATTAAGACTTATTTTACATGAAGCTTATTCTGTGTTTCTACTTTAAATTTATGTTGCCAAGAACAGATGGACATGGAATAGAAACATATTCTTTCAGCTGTAGCCGGCACTAAAATGTGCTTGGCTCTGCAGCCTGGGTGTTAATATACTCATTTCTTAGGTATATGTCAACCAGAAAACGACATTGTGACAAGTACTAAATCCCCAGATGTGTGCCTGGTAATATTTATAAAACAACATCCACACCAGCACAACTACAGAATTGAAGTACACATATGCTGTTGTGGGGTTTGTACTGCCAGATTTCTAAATAGGTGAGATTTCAATGTAGTTTTTGTAATGGTCTGAGGCTGGTTGCTGGGATCTGTTTTGTAAGAAATGAAACACTTTCTCTGAACAGAGTTAATCTGTGAGCCCTAACTTCTCCATGATTCACAGGAATTTGTCTACACCCACACCATATTGCTACTGTCTACCACCCTCCTTCTGACTCTTTTTTCTTTCTTTCTTTTAATTGATCTTTGTTTTTCTCCCTTTAAAAATAACCTAAAAAATCAAGTCAATTATTAATAATCAAAAAAGAGTTTAGAAGACTTAGACCTTCAAACTTTTGTTTTCTTGCTGAGACAAATAAAAGTTTTGGAATGATGGAAAGTTTACAAATACTGAAAAAGATAAATACCAGTCCAGTGTATAGAAGGAAATAAAAGCAAAACAAAAACCAAAGCTCTAAATTTGTGCTGTGCAAATTTGTTCCTGTAGCATATAAACAACCAATGCCTCCTTTGTCCTATTTTTTTGCAACCTTGATTGATTTCAGACAAAGAATTTCTATTTGTATCACTATCTATGTTTCTACCTATCTTGTGTGTGTGTGTGTGTGTGTGTTCATACAGGAGCCTGAACTCATTATTGGGGCATTGTCCCTTAGGTTTTTTACTCAAGGCTGGTATTCTATCACTTGAGCCATACCTTCACTTACACATTTTTGGTGGTTAATGGGATGTAAGGGGTCTCACAGACATTTTTGTTCAGGCTGGCTTCAAATCATGACCCTTAGATATCAACTTCCCAGGTAAGCTAAACACGAACCATTGTACCTGGCTTATCTATATATTTCTGAACACTTGTTTTTGAATATAGTATTCTCTGAAAATATCAAAGACTTCTTTATTTCACATTTTAGCTACATTTTTGCTTAAGTGCATCTTTCCTAGCAATATCTTAACCAAATATATGTATACACTTTATCAATTTGTGACATGCCTGTTGGTAATATACTTAAGAACAGGCGTAACGAGTAGGCATCAGTGGTTTCAGTCTATAATCCTTGCTACTAGAAGGCTGAGACTTGGAGGATGGAGGTTCATAGTGAGCCTGGGCACAAAAGTCTGTGAAACTCTACCTTCAATTAACCTATAAAATGCAAGAGTCAAAGTGTAGCCTTAGTGGTTGTAAGTGAGCAAATGGAACAAGAGTATGAGGCCTGAGTTCAATTCCTGGTATTGGTGCATGTACACACACACACACACACACTAAGAATAGCAAACTATAGCTCTATGGACCAAATACACACTGCTGTGTATTTTGTGTAGCTTATGAACTGAGAAGGCTTTTTTATTTTTATTTTTGTCAGTCATGGGACTTGAACTCTAGGCCTGGGTGCTGTCTCTGAGCTTTTCAGCTCAAAGAGAGCACTCTACTACTTGTGCCACAGTACCACTTCCGGTTTTCTGATGGTTAATTGGAGATAAAAATCTCATGGACTTTGCTGCCCGGGATGGCTTTGAACTGAGATCTTCAGATCTCAGCCTCATGAGTAGCTAGGATTATAGGTGTGAGCCACCAGCACCAGGCTGGGAAGGCTTTTTATAAACTTAAAGAGTAAAAAAAATATAAGCATTATGACATAAAAATTACCTGAAATTCAAATTAAGTCTAAACTGATACACAGAAACATTCATTTATAAAAGTTTAGTCTATGTGTGCTTTGGCATTATGGTGGCAGAATGGAGGACTTGTGATCTCAATCATATGTATCTCAAACTCCACTATCTTGTTTTAGAAACAACAAACAAGCAAACAAAAAACTAGGCTTTATTGGCTCTTGCCTGTAATCCAAGCTACTCAGGAACTTGAAATCCTCAGTTCATGGTTTCAGGCCAGCCCAGGCAGACAAACCCAGGAGACTCTTATCTCTAATTAATCAATAAAAAGTTGAAAGTGGAAGTATGGCTCAAATGGTAGAGTGCTAGCCAATGGAAAAATAGCTGAATGGGAGCATGATTCTTGGAGTTTAAGTTGTACGCATGCGTGAGAATGCGCGCGCGCGCGCGCGCGCGCGCGCACACACACACACACACACAGACTTTATTTTAATTCTGCTGTGGTAAGTATTCAATGGCATCACAATGTCCAAGTTCTCATTTCACAATGCTTGTGTCCATGTGATAGAGCAGTTGTTTTTCAGCCATCACACAGTCAAGACCTCTCACCATCCATTCGTTAAAACGGTGAAGTTTCCAAATGACTTCATTTCCAAATGATTAAGAATGGTTTAAATTCTGGGCTGGGAAGATGGCTCAGTGGTAGAGCGTTTGCCTTGCAAACATGAGGCCCTGGGTTCGATTCCTCAGCACCACATAAGCAAAAAGAAAAAAAAAAGCCGGAAGTGGCGCTGTGGCTCAAGTGGTAGAACGCTAGCCTTGAGCTGAAGAGCTGAGGGACAGCGCCCAGGTCCAGAGTTCAGGCCCACAACCCAACCCCCGCCCCCTAAAAAAAAGAATGGTTTAAATTCAGTCTTTGATCATTGTTACATTCACATTGAATTTCTTAAGCATGAGGAAGCACAGTAGAGATAAGGAAGTGAGTTTCAGTGAGACCTGAGGTCTGGATGTGAGACACCTCTATCTTCCAGAGTCATCTGTGATGCATTGAGAAG